TCACACAGCTCTGGTTTGATGTTTATACCAAAAACAGGGACAATTTTCTTTATAAATAAAGGTAGTTTGCACAGAAATTGACTTGTTTCTCATGGACACTTATATGTGTATAAGAAAGAGTTTTACATGAAAGAACAATTGTATGTTGAGAAACAGTCCAGTCCAGATCAAGTCCATAAGTCTGATATTAGCCCATATGTCTGATACCAAGCTATAAACTCCTTTTCAGACTCATGCAAAATATGCAATGACGCCAAATGCAGGAAGATCACAGGCCAGTGGGTAGGAAGTCTTGTGGATCCAGTGGCAGTGGAAGGATCTCAGCGCTGGCATGGGTCTCCAGTGGCTCCTCCAGCTCCAGGGCTCTGGCTCCATCAGTGTGTCTCCATGTGGCTTGTCAACAGGAATATCAAGCAGAGTGTATCTGGCCTCCAGTGAGCTCTTTAGTTCCTCCAAATGAGGTCATCAAGCTGCTACCTCTTGACAGGCTAGACTCCACCCATTCACAAGTTGACAAGAGATCATGTAACTGTCACAAGGGAAATCCCACCAATCTACCCCAAACTGTTGAATCTACCTCACAATGTGGACTCTTTTGTAATGACTCTTAGGCATTTTTTTAAACCACAGTTGTCTTATAACATATATCTGAAATGTACAATTTCTGAGCCTGTTAACTCTTTACAGGAATAGAAAGTCTCATCTTTCTCAGGGCGGCTGGTGGTTTCGAACTGCTGACCTTGTGGTTAGCCCCACACATAACCACTATGCTACCAGGGCTCCTTAGAAAATGGAAAAATGCCTCAGCCTACCCCCCACCCCCCAAAGTGCAATGCTATGTTTGTGGAAGAAATGCTCAGTTGTGCATAAGGTCACCATGAGTCATACCCAACACAACACCTAACAACAATGCTCCCATGGTTATGGGACTGGTGGTGGTGTGGGTTAGGTGTTAAACCCGTCCAGCAGTTCAAACCCACCAGCTGCTCTGTGGGAGCAGAACGAGGCTGACCCCGTAAGTCCTTATTTACTTATAATCATTTTATTGGGGGCTCATACAACTCTTATCTCAATCCATATATCCATCCATTGTGTCAAGTACATTGGTACATTTGTTGCCCTCATCATTTTCAAAATATTTGCCTCTACTTGAGCCCTTGGGAGCAGCTCCTCATTTTCCCCCT